ATATAGTAACTACAGTCTGTACTGTAATGACAGCTGTGAGAATTTAGATATAGTAACTACAGTCTGTACTGTAATGACTGCTGAGAGAACATAGATATAGTAACTACAGTCTGTACTGTAATGACTGCTGTAAGAACATAGATATAGTAACTATTGTCTGTTCTATAATGACAGCTGTGAGAACATTGATATAGTAACTACAGTCTGTACTGTAATGACCGGCCTGAGAACATTGATATAGTAACTATAGTCTGTACTGTAATGACAGCTGTAAGAACATAGATATAGTAACTATTGTCTGTACTGTAATGACTGCTGTGAGAACATAGATATAGTAACTATTGTCTGTATGTAATGACTGCTGTGAGAACATACATATAGTAACTACAGTCTGTACTGTAATGACTGCTGTGAGAACATAGATATAGTAACTATTGTCTGTATGTAATGACTGCTGTGAGAACATACATATAGTAACTACAGTCTGTACTGTAATGACTGCTGTGAGAACATAGATATAGTAACTATTGTCTGTATGTAATGACTGCTGTGAGAACATAGATATAGTAACTACAGTCTGTACTGTAATGACAGCTGTAAGAACATAGATATAGTAACTATTGTCTGTACTGTAATGACTGCTGTGAGAACATAGATATAGTAACTATAGTCTGTATGTAATGACTGCTGTGAAAACATAGATATAGTAACTATTGTCTGTATGTAATGACCGCTGTGAGAACATAGATATAGTAACTATAGTCTGTACTGTAATGACCGCTGTGAGAACATAGATATAGTAACTACAGTCTGTATGTAATGACTGCTGTGAGAACATAGATATAGTAACTATTGTCTGTATGTAATGACTGCTGTGAAAACATAGATATAGTAACTATTGTCTGTATGTAATGACTGCTGTGAGAACATAGATATAGTAACTATAGTCTGTACTGTAATGACTGCTGTGAGAACATAGATATAGTAAACACAGTCTGTACTGTAATGACTGCTGTGAAAACATTGATATAGTAACTATTGTCTGTATGTAATGACTGCTGTGAGAACATAGGGATAGTAACTATTGTCTGTATGTAATGACTGCTGTGAGAACATAGATATAGTAACTATAGTCTGTACTGTAATGACCGCTGTGAGAACATAGATATAGTAACTATTGTCTGTATGTAATGACCGCTGTGAGAACATTGATATAGTAACTATAGTCTGTACTGTAATGACCGCTGTGAGAACATAGATATAGTAACTACAGTCTGTACTGTAATGACTGCTGTAAGAACATAGATATAGTAACTACAGTCTGTACTGTAATGACTGCTGTAAGAACATAGATATAGTAAGTATTGTCTGTATGTAAAGACCGCTGTGAGAACATAGATATAGTAACTATAGTCTGTACTGTAATGACCGCTGTGAAAACATAGATATAGTAACTATTGTCTGTATGTAATGACCGCTGTGATAACATAGATATAGTAACTACAGTCTGTACTGTAATGACTGCTGTGAGAACATAGATATAGTAACTATTGTCTGTATGTAATGACCGCTGTGAGAACATAGATATAGTAACTATAGTCTGTACTGTAATGACTGCTGTAAGAACATAGATATAGTAACTATAGTCTGTACTGTAATGACCGCTGTGAGAACATAGATATAGTAAACACAGTCTGTACTGTAATGACCGCTGTGAGAACATAGATATAGGAACTATTGTCTGTTCTATAATGACCGCTGTGAGAACATAGATATAGGAACTATTGTCTGTTTTATAATGACCGCTGTGAGAACATAGATATAGGAACTATTGTCTGTTCTATAATGACCGCTGTGAGAACATAGATATAGGAACTATTGTCTGTTCTATAATGACCGCTGTGAGAACATAGATATAGGAACTATTGTCTGTTTTATAATGACCGCTGTGAGAACATAGATATAGGAACTATTGTCTGTTTTATAATGACCGCTGTGAGAACATAGATATAGGAACTATTGTCTGTTCTATAATGACCGCTGTGAGAACATATATATAGGAACTATTGTCTGTTCTATAATGACCGCTGTGAGAACATAGATATAGGAACTATTGTCTGTTCTATAATGACCGCACGGTCATATTGAGGAAGTATCTGAAAACACTGATTATTACAAATGCCTTGAACTTTGTAAGGTGTTGTTTATCTCTCGGCTGACTGTGCTTACGATAATATAGAGTTATAACACTCACTATAAAACACGAATGTGTTAACACTGAATAAATGTGTGGCTCTTGTATCACGTAAGGCAATGGTGTTCTTAATACAGCCTTAAGTTTGATTAGACGAGGGTGTTGACAAAAAAAATCCTTTTCTCAAGCGCTTTTCGTCGTTAAGAATATATAAATGCCAAGTATGGAATTGTATGTACCTGTATTCATTCTTTAACAAGCATGTTCTACAGGCAGTCCATAAAGTTCGTCTTGATAAATCCCTTTTTTTTATCAGTTCAGTTAACGTCAGGTGCTATCTTGTCGACCAGCATTTGCTATCGTATTGTATCAACTGTTTTGTTTGTGTGGGTTTTTTGTTCCTCGTCAAGCCTGGTTAGACATATAAAAACAGGACAGCCGTCTTGGTTGTTGTTATATTTTTAAAACACCGTCATCAAATCTCGCAGGTATTTTTTTTTCTTTAACAATGTTTCACTACGTAATTTATTCACCTACAAATGTACGTATGAAATAATTGATAATAATAATAATATGCAATATCTTTATACCGCTCTATCCTGTTAAAACGATCAGCTCTAAATCCCTTTACAGGCCATGTTTAGAAAACATTTCTCTACTGTATAAATATGCAAAACACATCCCATATACATCTATGGTAATACAAATAAGTATTGGGTAAATTTTGGAAGAGTCAAATACCAGCACATGCATATCAAAACACAGTTAAAACACTATTTAAACATCAAATTACACAGTGAGAGAAAAGAAGGAAACAGATTAATACCATAAAACCATTAAAGCTGCGACCATGATAGATGTCATCTGACATCTGTATATTTATATCTGTCTAAGTTAAAAAGAATTTGTCAGTGACGATCCATATATCTCTAGTTTCCAAAAATTAATATGTTTGGTTTTAATATTATCTATCAGAACATATCTTCATGCCATTTTTCTTAATCCGTCAGCTAATTTACGAACGACTTTATAAAGTATGTTTCATAACTGCTGGAAAAAAGGCATTCCATACATAAACTTAGGTCAGAATTTCGCCTATATATTTCTGATTCAAACCAACAAATTTCCTAGATATGATTGCTGTTCCGTCAAGTGAATTAACAGGTGTTTTAAGTACTCGTCCACTCAGTTTACTTAATGTTTTGAATTTGAATTTTATCACCGACATCAATTCACGGCTGAAAATCTTTATCAGAGAACACGTTTAATTTTGAGAATATGCGTACTTACTTATTGTTCTGCCCCCTTTACGAAACAAGAAAACAAAGCCATGTTAGATTATCGTCCTTGTGTCTTTACACAGTAATCGGTCCCCATTTGTTAAGCATGATCAATATTTTCAAATAATCAGGTCAGGTTAAGTGTTAGTTACTATGATGTTATTACGATTTAGGTCGTGTCAGGTTAAGTGTTTATCAATGTGACATTATTATGGTTTAGGTGGTGTCAGGTTAAGTGTTTATCAATGTGACATTATTATGGTTTAGGTGGTGTCAGGTTAAGTGTTTATCAATGTGACATTTTTACGGTTTAGGTGGTGCTAGGTTAAGTGTTTATCAATGTGACATTATTATGGTTTATGTGGTGTCAGGTTAAGTGATAATGTGACATTATTATGATTTAGGTGGTGTCAGGTTAAGTGTTTATCAATGTGACATTATTATGGTTTAGGTGGTGTCAGGTTAAGTGTTTATCAATGTGACATTATTATGGTTTAGGTGGTGTCAGGTTAAGTGTTTATCAATGTGACATTATTATGGTTTAGGTGGTGTCAGGTTAAGTGTTTATCAATGTGACATTATTATGGTTTAGGTGGTGTCAGGTTAAGTGATAATGTGACATTATTATGGTTTAGGTGGTGTCAGGTTAAGTGTTTATCAATGTGACATTATTATGGTTTAGGTGGTGTCAGGTTAAGTGTTTATCAATGTGACATTATTATGGTTTAGGTGGTGTCAGGTTAAGTGATAATGTGACATTATTATGGTTTAGGTGGTGTCAGGTTAAGTGTTTACCAATGTGACATTATTATGGTTTAGGTGGTGTCAGGTTAAGTGATAATGTGACATTATTATGGTTTAGGTGGTGTCAGGTTAAGTGTTTATCAATGTGACATTATTATGGTTTAGGTGGTGTCAGGTTAAGTGTTAATCAATGTGACATTATTATGGTTTAGGTGGTGTCAGGTTAAGTGTTTATCAATGTGACATTATTATGGTTTAGGTCGTGTCAGGTTAAGTGTTTATCAATGTGACATTATCATGGTTTAGGTCGTGTCAGGTTAAGTGTTTATCAATGTGACATTATCATGGTTTAGGTCGTGTCAGGTTAAGTGTTTATCAATGTGACATTATCATGGTTTAGGTCGTAAGCCACCTCGGTATTATATATAACATCCTTGGTATCAGATATATGTCACAGTTACATGTAGGCAATATGTCTAATTCTGATAGTTATATATGTCGAGGGTGTGTTTGGGTCTACACATGACTGAACTGATAATACATTGTAGGTATATATACACATACACAGACACACATCTTGATTTACAGAAAACCACAACCAGCTGGAGTTCCATGAACATCAGTTTTTTTCAGAAAATACAACATGGCTTACCGGGAAGGACATACAAACCGAAAGTGAAACTACTTTTTTACCTGGAAACTGTTCACAATCACTCGATTCTCTAAGCAGTAAATAACTGGTGGCGTTAAGTAATCTAACAGGGGATTTCTCACTATAATAATGACAATGACTTTCACGGAGTTTTTCCGTAACGAGGACAGTGGCTGTTACCAGAAGTACTTTTCGATCACCTTAGCAATTTTGGTTGTCGTCAGTTGTATAGTGTTTTCCAAGCGTAAGGAAGATAAACACAAATTATCAAAACAGAATAATAACCAACACGTACCAGAAGATCAGAATGGTGGACCTTTGATTGAGACATCAGCGAATGAGCAGAAAATTTGCAATCAGAAAAGATCGGACACGCCGAAAGTAGAAGTGGTCACTCCTGTCCCACTTAGTGTGAATTATCACTTCACACGACAGTGTAACTATCAATGTGGGTTCTGCTTCCATACCGCCAAAACATCAGCTGTGCTACCTGTGTCTGAGGCAAAGCGTGGACTGCGTATGCTCAAGGAATCAGGTAAATACCGTAGTGATTCAATGGAAACACCCGATAGATAATCTTCCAATCCGGGAAAAAACCATTCCTCTATGCATAAAAACCAAATCTCTTTACATATGAACTCCCCACGAACATGACGGTCTTCATCTTGAATTATATCGTATTAGGTATAGTCACATATATTTATACCCAACATCCACAATAATTTAAACCCATACCTACAAGTAAAACAACATAAACACAAACAACACGTCAACCAAATAAACAACAAACACCATAACATAGTAAGGAAACAAAACGCAACAACCACACAAGAAAACACCCCACATACCAATCCAGACATCAAACAAGTACATCAACAATTAACACACAAACACAAACATCACGCAATGTGACCGAGCAATTAAAAGACACTAGGAACAACACACAACAACATAGCCTACAAGAACACACAAACACACACAAACATACACAAACACAATACATAACATCAAACGCTTCAATATCACCTAAAAACACATACATCACAGTATCAGAAGGGTTTAAACTACAAAGTCTCGTAAGAAGGAATGCGCTGAGGAGAAATTATTATTATTATATTTTTTTTTTATTAAAACACACATCACTACACCCCAATTAAGATAATCTCATCCTAAACTCATACACAACATCAAGTCCCCCCTGTATCCAGAAGTCCCCCCTGTTCTTATCTCCCCCGCAGTAACTCTCAACTTTTTCGCTCCAATAGCACTCTATAAAAAAAAAAAATTATATTAAAAACTTCCCCCACTAGCCCTCTACCACTCTCCCCACTACCACCACTCCTCTCCCCCTCATTAACCTTCAACCTCTCTGCACATACCACAATCATGCCTCTACCCTCCTATAATCATTAAAAAAAAAAAAAAAGTGTTGCTGGCCAAATATCCGTTCATATGTTGAAATCAGCGGTTGGGTTAAAGAAAGGGAAGAAGGGGAAGAGATGAAGAAAATAAAGAAGAGGGAGAGAGAGAAAAGGGAAAGTAAGGATAAAAGGAAAAGGAAGGAAAAGAAATGGAAGGTTTAATAGAAGGAAAGGGAAAGAACGGGAAAGGGAACGGAGAATAGGAAAACCGTACAGAGAGTTTGGGTGTCCTCGACCAGGTGCGAGCGTTAGCCATATATGGTCTATATAACTATATATGGAAAGTTAAGTACACATATCAAATGGGGGTGTCCCCACCAACGTCCGAGCAATAATCGGGGTTCGATCCCACTCAATGACGGTTTTTTTTTCTCAGAAAACATGATGTAATTGGAACTGAGCCGGCACGGCTTTTTTTTTTTTGTTTGTTTTTTCCTCTCTACTCACTCCTCCCCTACACCTCTCCTATGAACACAACACCCCAACCCTAACTAACATCAGCACAATAGGCACTGTAGACACGAGTCGTGAAGGACTGCTACCGACCATAGAGAAAGGATATGATAGGCACAGAAAGAAAAGACATTACGTAAAGTAGCACAGTTAAAAGGAGAAAGTACAGATCAGAGCAAAAAGCAAGGACTCATAGTGAGCACCAGCACATTACTAAAAACTAACAACACAGTCCGGCGGACGGGACTTAAAACGGTGGCCTGTGTGAGACCCGTCCAAGCTCGCACATTAAAGATCCTCCTGTGGTTTTCGATAATAAGAGTAGGCACCTCACGCCGCCCAGGAGCCCCCCTTCCTCTATTTCGGCATATACATATATATTTTTATCCTCTCTCTTTTTTTTATAAATTGACAAATAATTCAAGAAACTATTAGACAAGGACTTCAAAAATTTCTTTATATATTTAATAAATAAATAAGTTAAGGGCCGTTTTTGGATTTGGTACCTGCACTGATAACTGGTGAAAACGACAGCGAAACACAAGCCTACACTCCTCGGACCAAGAAAGCGAAAACGAATAACACAGGCCCAATAAACTTTTTAGATCCGGGAGTCATATCAAAACAACAAGACCTAGAGACTTTCAATATGACTCCCAACAATGAGGGGAGCACCCCCCTCACGTCGCCAGAGAATCGACGTACGTCGATTGGATTCCGCCCGGCGACGGGAGGAATCACGGAGACGAAAAACTGCCAACAACAACAACAACAACAATGGAAACACGAGATTAGCTGATTATAAGAAAACACAAGACGCTGATATTTTTTCAACTTGTCATTTATCAAAATTTGAAAAATGTTAAAATTCAATCGGCATTGAGTTGAATATATCATCGTGTATTGTACATGAAGGCTAGGATGGAGTTCATCTCCATTGAAGTTCACAATTTATATATATTTTTTAATTCACATGTTCTTAGTATGAAGTTTGCGAAAAGTAGAGACCTTGACTTACATTCAACAGTGGTCACATTTGTTAAGACATTTAAACGAATTTTCCTCATGAACTAAAAGATCTATAGAAATATATTTGGCTGGTATGTTCCTAGGATAAAGCCAAGCAAGGTCTGCGAACCGGAATGAATTTCAAACTCCAATTCAGTTATTGTCCTTTTTCTGTGATACACCCCTTAATTTTACAAATTTCATGAAACTTGATATGCAATACCTATTCAGAAATAGTTCATTGTATCAATTTAAGGATCACAACTTTTCGATATCGGGTTTTTGGCCCTTTTTTAGTTTTCTGTTTTAGTGTTAATGAGTTTAATGTCACAACACAGTACTAAAATTTAGCTTCCTTGTATACAGTGATTCATGCAACAATTTTGACAATCTTCATTTAGTGAAGTGATGTTCAGCAACATACTACTACTGAGGTTATATACGACATAACTCTACCCTTTATTCTCAGATTACCATTAAAGCCCATTTACCTTGTGTTCGTTCATTTACATAATGAATTTGATACCCTCTTTTTAAGTTTGTAAAATGAATTTTTGAAAAAAGTATGTATATACCAGGTGAGAGCTGCAGGCCCATCTTGTTATTTAATATCTTTTTTCTAGTGATATGACTAGGATAAGGGTTTATCTGAATAATGTAAAACTTACAGCCGGTAATGTGGGTTTATATAAATGTGTAATGCGTTAGGCTATCATGGCCTTGTAGTCAGTCTGTGTAATTAAGTATCTTTCGAATTCATTTTCAATTAAAATTTATGATAGTTTCTGATAAAAATTGTTTTGCCGCAAGGTCTCAAAATTTATCTTTATCTTCGAAACTTGTATTCATAACGCATGTCTTTAACTATACTGACTAGTGCTTGTAACGAGAAGTTGCACAGAAATCTCAACTTGATCCTAATTTGTTCAAGTAAAGTATTGACTTTAAGCGACAAGAGCTGTAATTGTTGATGACTTACCTACAACATACCCTGGTATAGATATCCAGTTTTACAGGGTAACACTTCTAAATATACAGTTTTACAGGGTAACACTTCTTAATATCCAGTTTTACAGGGTAACACTTCTAAATGTCTAGTTTTACAGGGTAACATCCAGCTTTACAGCGCAACACTTCTAAATATCCAGTTTTACAGGGTAACACTTCTAAATGTCCAGTTTTACAGGGTAACAATTCTAAATGTCCAGTTTTACAGGGTAACACTTCTTAATGTCCAGTTTTACGGGGTATCACTTCTAAATATCCAGTTTTACAGGGTAACAATTCTAAATATCCAATTTTACAGGGTATCCGGTTTTACAGGGTAACACTTCTAAATGTCCAGTTTTACAGGGTAACACTTCTAAATATCCATTTTTACAGGGTAACACTTCTAAATATCCAGTTTTATAGGGTAACATCCAGCTTTACAGGGTAACACTTCTAAACATCTGGTTTTACAGGGTAACGCTTCTAAATATCCAGTTTTACAGGGTTACACTTCTAAATATCCGGTTTTACAGGGTAAAACTTCTAAATATCCAGTTTTACAGGGTAACACTTCTAAATATCCAGTTTTACAGGGTAACACTTCTAAATGTCCAGTTTTACAGCGTAACATCTAGCTTTACAGGGTAACACTTCTAAACATCTGGTTTTACAGGGTAACACTTCTAAATATCCAGTTTTACAGGGTAACACTTCTAAATATCCAGTTTTACAGGCTAACACTTCTAAATATCCAGTTTTACAGGGTAACACTTCTAAATATCTAGTTTTACAGGGTAACATCCAGCTTTACAGCGCAACACTTCTAAATATACAGTTTTACAGGGTAACACTTTTTAATATCCAGTTTTACAGGGTAACACTTCTAAATATCCAGTTTTACAGGGTAACACTTCTAAATGTCCAGTTTTACAGGGTAACAGTTCTAAATGTCCAGTTTTACGGGGTATCACTTCTAAATATCCAGTTTTACAGGGTAACAATTCTAAATATCCAGTTTTACAGGGTAACCGGTTTTACAGGGTAACACTTCTAAATGTCCAGTTTTACAGGGTAACACTTCTAAATATCCAGTTTTACAGGGTAACACTTCTAAATGTCCAGTTTTACAGGGTAACACTTCTAAATATCCAGTTTTACAGGGTAACACTTCTAAATGTCCAGTTTTACAGGGTAAAACTTCTAAATATCCAGTTTTACAGGGTAACACTTCTAAATATCCAGTTTTACAGGGTAACACTTCTAAATATCCAGTTTTACAGGGTAACACTTCTAAATATCCAGTTTTACAGGGTAACATCTAGCTTTACAGGGTAACACTTCTAAACATCTGGTTTTACAGGGTAACACTTCTAAATATCCAGTTTTACAGGGTAACACGTCTAAATATCCAGTTTTACATGGTAACACTTCTAAATATCCAGTTTTACAGGGTAACACTTCTAAATATCCAGTTTTACAGGGTAACACTTCTAAATATCTAGTTTTACAGGGTAACATCCAGCTTTACAGCGCAACACTTCTAAATATCCAGTTTTACAGGGTAACACTTCTAAATATCCAGTTTTACAGGGTAACACTTCTAAATATCCAGTTTTACATGGTAACACTTCTAAATGTCTAGTTTTACAGGGTAACATCCAGCTTTACAGCGCAACACTTCTAAATATCCAGTTTTACAGGGTAACACTTCTAAATATCCAGTTTTACAGGGTAACACTTCTAAATATCCAGTTTTACAGGGTAACATCCAGCTTTACAGCGCAACACTTCTAAATATCCAGTTTTACATGGTAACACTTCTAAATATCCAGTTTTACAGGGTAACACTTCTAAATATCCAGTTTTACAGGGTAACACTTCTAAATATCCAGTTTTACAGGGTAACACTTCTAAATATCCAGTTTTACAGGGTAACACTTCTAAATATCTTGTTTTACAGGGTAACATCCAGCTTTACAGCGCAACACTTCTAAATATCCAGTTTTACAGGGTAACAGTTCTAAATGTCCAGTTTTACAGGGTAACAGTTCTAAATGTCCAGTTTTACATGGTAACACTTCTAAATATCCAGTTTTACATGGTAACACTTCTAAATATCCAGTTTTACAGGGTAACACTTCTAAATATCCAGTTTTACAGGGTAACACTTCTAAATGTCCAGTTTTACAGGGTAACACTTCTAAATGTCTAGTTTTACAGGGTAACATCCAGCTTTACAGCGCAACACTTCTAAATATCCAGTTTTACAGGGTAACACTTCTAAATATCTAGTTTTACAGGGTAACATCCAGCTTTACAGCCCAACACTTCTAAATATCCAGTTTTACAGGTTAACACTTCTAAATATCCAGTTTTACAGGGTAACATCCAGCTTTCCAGGGTAACACTTCTAAATATCCGGTTTTACAGGGTAACACTTCTAAATATCCAGTTTACAGGGTAACACTTCTTCTAAATATCCAGTTTTACAGGGCAACACTTCTATAACGTTAATGCTAACTCTGCATCTTGGCGTTTCGTACCCTTGTTACCCCAGTAAAACGTATGACATCTGGTCACCATGGCGTTTCTCACCCTTGTAAAACGTATGACATCTGATCACCATGGCGTTTCGTACCTCTGTAAAACGTACTACCTCTGGTCACCATGGCGTTTCGTACCTCTGTAAAACGTATGACATCTGGTCACCATGGTGTATCTTACCCCAGTAAAACGTATGACCTCTGGTCACCATGGCGTTTCTTACCCCTGTAAAACGTATGACATCTGGTCACCATGGCGTTTCTTACCCCTTTAAAGCGTATGACATCTGGTCACCATGGCGTATCTTACACTTGTTAACCCTGTAAAACGTATGACATCTGGTCACCATGGTGTTTCTTACCCCTGTAAAACGTATTGCCTCTGGTCACCATGGAGTTTCTTACCCCTTTAAAACGTATGACATCTGGTCCCCATGGCGTATCTTACCCCTGTAAAACGTATGACATCTGGTCACCATGGCGTATCTTACCCCTGTAAAACATATGACATCTGGTCACCATGGCGTATCTTACCCCTGTAAAACGTATGACATCTGGTCACCATGGCGTTTCTTACCCCTGTAAAACGTATGACATCTGGTCACCATGGCGTTTCTTACCCTTGTAAAACGTATGACATCTGGTCACCATGGCGTATCTTACCCCTGTAAAACGTATGACATCTGGTCACCATGGTGGCTTTCTGTGTTCAAACATCTGTAAATTGGAATTGCCTTAAAGTCCTTTAAGTAGTTACAGTTGTAGGAGAGCACAATGTTACACGATGTTCGATTAGCGCTCGATGTCTACTCGGTGATTGTGCACATGATGTTAGCACGATGTTCGGACGATAGGAAAACTAGACGATGTTGCGCGGTTCTTTTGCACTGATGTGCGACTCTATCGTGGTTGACATAAATTTAGAAATGACTTACAAACAGGTATGGGATGTGGTTTGTTTATTTTTCAAACATAAAGTACAACAAAGTATATTTCCTAATTCTATTCTTGAATTGTAATTTAAAGTTTTTCGATTACTAAGTGTCACGCGTGACAACCCTTGGTGTATAGGCACTTATCATATACATATTATATATGTAAATATTAAATGAACGTCTCTTTTTGTTTCTGTGATGAATTTCCTGAAATCTCGTACCGTCAGAATGGACATTTTATTGCCATTACCTCTATATCACTTTCATTTTTCTTTTTATTATAATGAAAACAAACAATATATACTCAGGTAAATTTGAAGCGTTGTGTTTGTTGCACGCGAGGCCTACCGGTCCGGACCTGTAATTCTTGTTGCTAGAGGTACACCATATACAATAGTAAGACCAGTTAATGTATGGTTCAGCGTTATTTCTGGAAACTGTCGAATCAAAATGACAATTCACTCTAATTGTGCCTATCGCACAGTCCTGCATTATATACAGTATAGTGCATGTGTGCGGACGATGTTATCACGTAGCTGTTGGTGCGTTTTTGCGTTTTGCCTTCCAGCATATGTATATTGGTGACATTATGAAACTTTTATATCCTTAAATTTGAGTGATGATCTCACCTCTGACAATTGTTCTAAAACTAGGGATGGAGAAGGTGAATTTTTCCGGCGGTGAGCCGTTCATTGTACAACGGGGAACCTATGTTGGAGAATTGGTAACTTTCTGCAAACGGGATCTCGGGTTACCAAGTGTGACCATTGTCAGCAACGGAAGCCTGATAACAGAAAAATGGTTCAAGAAATACGGTAAGGCTTAGTAGAATGAACGCATGTTTCATTGAAACTGATCTCTCATTTACACACGACTTAAGAACCGATGGCTTCGCGTGAAAGTGCATTCTAACAGCCACTATTATTGTACTGGGTTATGATATTGGATGTTGATGTAATATGACCGGGCGACGACAATAAGCAGAGGTACACATTAGTGTCACCTGGTTAGTGTATGGGGTTATAAAGACGGGTGATACAGCGCGTTACTATTGTGCTACTCGACCACCAGGTGCTTTTCAGATACTTATTGGAAACATATTAATGAGATTAATCATGTTATTTGTTCACGTGATGTAAACTATATTGTGTACTGTCATTAACATTTCAATATGAAGAATCCTTCAACAACAAATAACAGAAATATGGGATGCCTTACGCAACCACATGTTTTTTTATTAGATTTTAACAAAAATCAGAATAATATGGTAATAAGGAGATACTCCCTTAAAACATTGTAGGCGAGTACCTCGACATTCTGGCGATATCCTGTGACAGTTTCCATCCTCAAGTAAACAAAGAAATCGGTCGTTACCAAGGTAGTAAAAACCACCTCCAGAGCCTCCAGACTGTCCGTGATCTGTGTACCCTGTACAAGGTAAGTACTGTAGACGTACAGAGCCCCCGGACTGTCCGTGATCTGTGTACCCTGTACAAGGTAAGTACTGTAGACTTACAGAGCCTCCGGACTGACCGTGATCTGTGTATCCTGTACAAGGTAGGTACTGTAGACATACAGAGCCCCCAGACTGTCCGTGATCTGTGTACCCTGTATAAGGTAAGTACTGTAGACTTACAGAGCCTCCAGACTGTCCGGGATCTGTGTACCCTGTACAAGGTAAGTACTGTAGACGTACAGAGCCTCCAGACTGTCCGTGATCTGTGTACCCTGTACAAGATAAGTACATGATACATACATAAGATGTGGAGAGTTGCCAGACTGTCCTATAATTTTGAACCATATCAAAGGTTTTTACAGTAGCCTTTGCAAGCCTTCCATATTGTTTGTGATATCCTATATCAGATTTGAAGGGCTTTTAAACCAACAATGTCAAGGTATAGAGCTGACTACAAGTCCTCCAGACTATCAGTAATTTGGTACCATATTCAATATTCTTTGCACTGAACTTGCAGAGCCTCCAGACTGTCCATGATCTGTATTTCTCCCATCATTCACAGGCTTGTCACCCGTTTTACTTGTTCAAGATTTCTCTGTCAACCCCTAGGGTATGGCAGATAGCGCGTGCACCGGAAGTGAACCGGAACTACTTCTACACACGTCATCTGCTACATATGAACAGTATTTTTACCTGTTTGTTTACAAGCTGATTGTCACCGAAGCTAAGGCTCTCTGAGAAAAAGTATGATAGGAGAAAAGTAATCTTCCCCTACCTTGAGGGTGTGACGGAGAAATCTCCAACCCGAGGGGTGATATTCTTGGTTGTCTAACTTGAGGCATAGGTAGGGGAAGATTTTATTGATCATATACGAAGTACATACGTACACACAGGGAGTCTCCATACTGTCTTTAATATGTAGACTTAAACATCTTCTAGACTGTCTATGATTTGTGTACCATATTGAAGTAACGCATAGGCATGCGGACTCAGTTATCTGCATGCCATAGTCACACAAAGCCTGAAGATTTACAGAACCCCTAGACTGTCCTTGATCTGTGTACAAGATACATACAATAATTATATGTCTATGGGTTATATGCGAAGTATGTACAGTGGACTCACACCGGATCCTGAATGTCTTTTGTCTATGGGTTATATACGAAGTATGTACAGTGGACTCACACCGGATCCTGAATGTCTTTTGTCTATGGGTTATATACGAAGTTTGTACAGTGGACTCACACCGGATTCTGGTGTCTTTTGTCTATGGGTTATATATGAAGTATGCACGGTAAATTTACGCCAGATCCCGATTGTCTTTTGTCTATGGGTCATATACGAAATACATATGATGACCTTACACAGCCTCCAAATTTTATTTTATCTATGGGTCATATACAAAAAGAACGACAAACTAAAATCCAATAAAACTAGGGCAAAAGAACAAAAACAAAAAAAAAAAAAAAAAAAAGAGATTTACACTTAGACATTTGAAATAATGATAATAATACCAGATGTTCCGGATGAGAAAGCGTCTTCTGCTTCAACAACGCCCGCCATGTAAATCTTTGTCAATCCAAGAAACTAATGTCACGTTCTCAATTGAGAACTATGTATACGACAACGAAACCAATAGGCAATCATACGAGCATCAATTACATCCAGCTTCAAATCACACACACACACACACACACAAAATAGTTCTCAACGAGATCACTATGATGACGTAAAACTTTCCCGTCATTTTCATCAACCGCATCTTTTGAAACTCAGCATTTGCCCGTCAGTTGATGACTTATCGTTTGAAATTCGTGATAAAAGAAAAAAAAAAAAAAAACATATGCATAGTCGACTTACAAAGGCTCCAAACTGTCATTGTATAATGGTCAAAGTATATGCAGTAGGCTGACATACACACCATGTGACGGTATCATATTGGGTCTTTTTATTGTCATTAAATCACTATAGCTCTTTTAACGATTGTTTTCTCTTTTGTCGCTGTTTAATGTTGATGTCATGTTCTACAGATAAAGTTACTTTTTGTACATCTGTCTGTAATCAAAAAAGGCAATGTCACGTGCTGTCAGTGTTAAATAATTAAGTATTTACGACCATTGAAATATTACAAACTTGTGCTTGAAGTGATAAGATTTACCTCCACACTTAAGGTGGCGTTTAAGATCAACACGGTGGTGAATTCCTGCAACAAAGATGAAGATATGACGGAAAATATCTTAAGTCTTTCTCCATGTCGTTGGAAGGTAAGCTAGGTTACATCATAGACATATGACGAAACTTAATGGCTAGAGTGTAAGTACGTCTTGTATTGTCACGTGACCTGGTCATTACAGAGAGTAAGGTCAGACACTGAAGTATCACATGACTTGTTCATTTTCGTTATTATTAGTATTGAAATTAAGAACGGTCAGTAGAGCAGTAAAGATGAATTACGTTATTTACATACGGGTGAACACCATGAGAAATCACGTGACTGCTTACAGTGCGGCAAATACAATGAAAAATCACGTGGCTACTCAAAGTAGGGCAAATACCTTGTCAAATCATGTTACTACTCACAGTAGGGCAAAACACCCTGTCAAATTATGTAACTACTCACAGTGGGGCAGATACCCTGTCAAATCACATGACTTCTCACAATAGGGTAAACAGCCTGTTAAATCACGAGACTACTTACAAAATCACGGGATTTCTCACAGTGGAGCAAACACTGTCAAACTGACGTGACTACTCACAGGAACAAATCACATGACACCAGGGTAACTGTATTTCTTAACCAAATTACGTTACTGCATGTTGGTGGAATTAAAATGACGATAATCAAACTGACTATCTATATAGTTAGCTTCTGTGTTGTTGGTCGGGGATTCTTTGCATCAGGTTATAGCTTCACATGGAATTAAGTAAAACTATGTAATTTTAGTGACTAAGTAGTTTGTTCTACATGTTTTTAGGTATTCCAATGTTTATTGATTGGAGGAGAGAACGCCGGCGAAAACGCACTGAGACAGGCTGAGACATTTGTCGTCACAGAAGCTGAATTTCAAGCATTCCTGGATAGACACAGCAGTGTGGCCTGTCTTGTTCCAGAATCAAATGAAAAGGTAGGTTACATTTTCTACTGGTTGTGTTATAAGAGCTTCCATTTTATAAATACCAAACATGATTTCTAAATCTTCATCATTGTATACTGTTTTGATATAACAACGAACGTGTGATATGTATCAGAAGCATACCCGTTTACATTGTGTGAACTTTTCCGTTTCTATTTCAGATGAGAAATTCGTACTTGATACTGGATGAATATGTGAGTATAGAATGAGAGCTATTACTCCTCCTGTGTCCGGGTAACGTCTCACTGACGAACGCCAATCTGTCTTAACTCTATCAGTCAAAACATGCCTGGAAGCTGAAATGAAAAGTTTGGGGGCCTGTCTAGATTTGGTTTGTGTTGGGTAATTTTGAAGTCCGTCTAATGCCTTAAAAGCTAATTGTGTAGTCTGACACTGTCCCTAGACCCCTGGGTCAGCGTTATAACACCTACTCTTTTACGAAAAGTCACAGAGGTTTTTTTTTGTGTGCGAGAGTGGACAATCCTCACATGGGCCACCGTTTTAAGTCTCATCCGTCGGACTGGTTAGTGGTTAGATCGGTGCTGGTCAAATTATAATTAACACTTGTTTTTGTTGTCACGTCTTGAAAACCTTTCCAATCATATGTCTAAACTACTGCTTTCTGTGATTCAACAACATTCCATCTGAATACATCTGTTCACTAAACCGACATTTATGATTAAAATTGTTGAAAAGAGAGAGATTCCCTGCGCATGCCCGGTAAGATGGTTGGATTATGTTTTAAGCTATGTGTTTAGTGGGAGTTATGTGTTCATTGTAACTGGTTACATTTTGAGTATAGACAGAGATGAATTAAGTTGTCTAGTCTAACCTATATTCTGTCATATACACCCCGCGGCTAGTGTAGAAGTACTATTTATATAGGGTGTGAGATGGGGGAGGGGATGGGAGAGGTGACGGGGATCTTGTATGGTGTTTAATTGGCTTGTATGTGTTTGTATGTTGTATGTATGGTTGTGTTTGGCACAATGTATGGTGTGTCAAAATTTGATGTCGACTCTGCCCGAAACCTGTTGAGTAGGGAATTTCAAACAGTAATATCATTGCTGATAATAATTGCATGCTTATAACAATGTTATTTTCATCATTAAGAAAACACCGTATTTAGATCAAAGAAAAGATTCCAATAGACATTAAGTCTCATTTCCCGTTTTTCATTTAGTTCCTTCGGACAAAAATCTTTCTCTATTGATTATATTAGAGGTGGCGATGTGTGAGAGGTTGAAATAAAGGAGCGATAAATAAGGAATTGCGATTGGTAAGGGGCTGCATGGGAGGAATTGATGACAGGTTGAGATTGTCGAGGGGTTGAAATAAGTGAAAGGTTGAAATAAGCGGGTGATGTAGATAGGTGATAGGTTGAGACAAGTGAGAGGTTGGTATTGTTGAGAGAATGAAATTGTCAAGAGATTGAAATAGGCAGGATGTTGACATAGATAAGAGGATGAATAAGTGAGAAGTTTAGATAAACCAGAGATTGAGATCTGTGAGAGGTTAAAACAGCTGGGAATTTGAGAATGTTTGAAATAGGTGTGAAGTTGAAATTGGCAAGAGACTGGGAGAGGTGAAACGTTTACATAGGTGTGGTTTGAAATTGAGGCGAGGTTAAAATTGGTGAAAAGTTGGAATAGGTGAGAGGTTGAGATAAATAAAATGATAAGATAGATGAGAGGTTAAAACAGGTGAGAAGTTACGGTTGTTGAGAGGATGAGATTGTCGAAAGATTGAAATATGTGAGAGATTGAAATAGGCGAGAGAATGTGGTAGGTTAAAGGTTGTTTGTCATCTCATCAAACTATTTTCTACCTTATAGCACAGTTGTGAGATCACACAACGTGTTACGATGTCTGAAAGTTGATCGGAGTACAACTAAGTGTATTTCCTAATTAAGTTTTAGATCTATAGGTTGGGCTCATGCACAACTATCAGACACAGACTGAATAGTTATATACACTCTAATTTAAAGTATTTTGTGTACGCCACGTGACCGTACCTTAGTGCACGGACACTCTTTATAGATACATTATATATATATACATTAAAAGGGTGCCTCTTTTTGTCTCGGCAAGTAATCTCAAACCTCATTCCGTCAGATAGGAAATTTATTTTTATTCCTATTGTATAAACAAAAATATATAAATACTCATATACACTTTAAGTGTTGTGTTCATTAGAAAGACCAATTAAGGCAAGGGCTAGTACCATTTTGAAAACTGTCCAATTAAATATTACTCTTTTAATCACCTATCAATCTAGATGCGCCTACGGTCGCTGTTAGTCATAACTTCATGTACTAGAGTTGTCAGTTTAATTTTCAATCCGTAACATCTAACATTTTTTATCTAACAAAAAAAAAAAAAAATGTGCGATCCTATACCGCTAGAAATTGTACAGTGCGTTTGCACGTACGATGCATGCATGATGTGCGCACGAAGATTTTGTTGCGTTGTGCGTTATCACAACCGTATATAAGGTTATAGTACAGCCGGAAAAGTTGGTCGATTCCTAAACATTTCGAACACTAAGTACGCTAGTACAACTTCACGCTTAACACTGGACATTTGTTTGAGGAAGGTCATCGTGTGGTAATCACAGCATTAAAAACTACTGGTTGTGTAATAAGAATATTTATTCAATTGACATAAACAACTGGAATGAAATGTCTCGAAAAAGCTATGGACCTAAGCTGGTCATATATCTAGATATCGAAGGCCTATACAATAACGTCTGTTTCCCATACCACGTCAATATCATACGATGGTAGTTGTGAGTTTTCACTAACAGTTTGTCTGTTTCCCATACCACGTCAATATCATACGATGATAGTTGTGAGTTTTCATTAACAGTTTGTCTGTTTCCCATACCACGTCAATATCATACGATGGTAGTTGTGAGTTTTCACTAACAGTTTGTCTGTTTCCCATACCACGTCAATATCATACGATGGTAGTTGTGAGTTTTCATTAACAGTTTGTCTGTTTCCCATACCACGTCAATATTATAAGATGGTAGTTGTGAGTTTTCACTAACAGTTTATCTGTTTCCCATACCACGTCAATATCATACGATGGTAGTTGTGAGTTTTCACTAACAGTTTGTCTGTTTTCCATACCACGTCAATATCATACGATGGTAGTTGTGAGTTTTCACTAACAGTTTATCTGTTTCCCATACCACGTCAATATCATACGATGGTAGTTGTGAGTTTTCACTAACAGTTTATCTGCTTCCCATACCACGTCAATATCATACGATGGTAGTTGTGAGTTTTCACTAACAGTTTGTCTGTTTTCCATACCACGTCAATATCATACGATGGTAGTTGTGAGTTTTCACTAACAGTTTATCTGTTTCCCATACCACGTCAATATCATACGATGGTAGTTGTGAGTTTTCACTAACAGTTTATCTGTTTCCCATACCACGTCAATATCATACGATGGTAGTTGTGAGTTTTCACTAACAGTTTATCTGTTTTCCATACCACGTCAATATCATACGATGGTAGTTGTGAGTTTTCATTAACAGTATACCAGATATCGATGGCCTTTGGATTATTGTTGAAACTCATAGAGTCTCATTGAACTATCCCAGATAGTATTGATGTGCTGGATGATATGGCCAAGAGCAATTTCCCAACATCCCCAAACCATGGTGTTTTCACGTCGCAGTTCATTCGATATTCATGGCCCTGCTCCCTTTATCATGATCTTCGTGCATGAAGTCGTCAACTGACAGACATACTCGTAACACAGGGTTACAAAAGCTGCAGGTTTTATGCCTTGTTCTCATTTTAGAACGTGAAATTACTACTTAGATTGACCAAGGTTTATATGACGGGTGGCGTCGATGAAGCAGAAGACGCTTACTCTTTCAGAACACCTGTTTTTTCTCCCTGTACTTTTTCTGGAGTTTCCTTTGTTCATATTTTGGCCTTCGTTAGGAAGTTGCCTTTTGTACAATCTTCTGGGACTTGTCAGTGATACTATGAACCTAAATTTTGAAGCCTCTGAGGCGATTGAGGAAAACCCAAATTGATCAAATGAAGTGTCCAGATCTTTATCGGAGGATGCACCAAGCCCGGTAATTCAATGAATTCCGAAATAATGTGCAAGGTATAGTGAACTCCGTTACACATTCTTTGAAAATGTCCTTAATAATAGCGATAATCACAATGTACTAGAGCTACTTCTAAATGGTTGTGAGAGATTGGACGAAAACAACAACAAAAACATTGTGTCTGCAGTCTCCAATTGCATTTTAACGTCAAGCAGATTCAGACTCTGTGACTTTTTTTTTCTGTCTCAACCTAATAGATTGATAATGGTATACAACATACATTGAGGTAGATGGCCCAGGAGACCAATGCTTATTAATTTGACCTATAACAGTATGAAACAACGCCTTGATTGAAATTAATGATATAAACAAATTTCTGTTATAACGTTATATTTAACTTTTATCTGAAACAAATTACTTGGTGATATTGAAATTCCAAACATCATCAGTGGATGACCTCATGTGGTGGTGACAATGGACTCATTAGACTTTATCTGGTGATGAGAGGAAGTTAATAACACTAAATATTTGGTTTCAAAAGAATACGCACTCATAAATACAGTATTGCACCAGCTTTAAAGGAGTTGCCTCCCCTACATTATATATTATGATAATACAAGTTTAACTATTTTATTTGTATTCATTGTATGTATTTAGGGTTTGTGTGTATATGCATGTGATTATATGTATTCTAAACTCATATTGTTTATATAAAGTTTGCTCCCATCAGGAGACTTATACAGACTTTACCTACTATCAAGTAGTTTTCTTATGGCAATACAATTTCATGAAATTGAAATTAAACTCCTCCAGACAATATCAAGATAAAAACAAAAACGGTTAGCGAGATTTCTTTCAGTATCAAGTAAAACGCGATTTAGCGAGATTCCTCCATACAGTATCGAGATAAAAAGGGGGAGCGTTAATTCAACTATCAAGTTTCCAAAATGTATTGTCAGAGAACTTCTCTTTCAGTTTAATTTCCCCTTTTAATTTATCCAGAACAAATTGCCTATAGCATAACTACCCTATATAATATACAAACCCAGAAAGGTCACTCATAATTACGCCATACAAAGCCCACACCACCCACAATTACACCCACAGTATTCCCATATGGTATCAAGGTTAATGAGGGTGCGCTAGAATACCTCTACGCAATATCCAGATTGTAGAAATAAGCCAGAGATAACACATACAGTATCCAAACTGTAACGGATCAGACAAAAATACCTTTGCAGTATCAAGACTACCGAGGAACTAACCATACGCAATATTAAGACTATAGAGGGTACGCAAGAATACCCATTTTCTATCCAGACTTAAGAGGTCAGCGAGAAATACCATATACATTATCAAAACTGAAGAGGTCACCCAGAAATACCATATACATTATCCAGACTGAAGAGGTCAGCTAGAAATACCATATACATTATCCAGACTAAAGAGGTCAGCTAGAAATACCATATACATTATCAAGACTAAAGACTGAAGAGGTCAGCTAGAAATACCATATACATTATCCAGACTAAAGAGGTCAGCCAGAAATACCATATACATTATCCGGACTAAAGAGGTCAGCTAGAAATACCATATACATTATCCAGACTAAAGAGGTCAGCGAGAAATACCATATACATTATCAAGAAAAACCATACCATATACATTATCCAGACTAAAGAGGTCAGCTAGAAATACCATATACATTATCCAGACTAAAGAGGTCAGCTAGAAATACCATATACATTATCAAGACTAAAGACTGAAGAGGTCAGCTAGAAATACCATATACATTATCCAGACTAAAGAGGTCAGCTAGAAAAACCATATACATTATCCAGACTAAAGAGGTCAGCTAGAAATACCATATACATTATCCAGACTAAAGAGGTCAGCGAGAAATACCATATACATTATCCGGACTAAAGAGGTCAGCTAGAAATACCATATACATTATCCAGACTAAAGAGGTCAGCTAGAAATACCATATACATTATCCAGACTAAAGAGGTCACCCAGAAATACCATATACATTATCAAGACTAAAGAGTCAGTCATATACATTATCCAGACCAGTCACCCAGAAATACCATATACATTATCTAGACTAAAGAGGTCACCCAGAAATACCATATACATTATCAAGACTAAAATACCATATACATTATCCAGACTTAAGAGGTCACCCAGAAATACCATATACATTATCAAGACTAAAGACTGAAGAGGTCAGCCAGAAATTCAATATACATTATCCGGACTAAAGAGGTCAGCCAGAAATACCATATACATTATCCAGACTAAAGAGGTAAGTCAGAAATACCATATACATTATCCAGACTAAAGAGGTCAGCTAGAAATACCATATACATTATCCAGACAAAAGAGGTCACCCAGAAATACCATATACATTATCAAGACTGAAGAGGTAAGTCAGAAATTCCATATACATTATCCATACTAAAGAGGTCAGCCAGAAATACCATATACATTATCCAGACTAAAGAGGTCACCCAGAAATACCATATACATTATCAAGACTAAAGACTGAAGAGGTCAGCCAGAAATACAATATACATTATCAAGACTAAAGAGGTCAGTCAGAAATTCCATATACATTATCCAGACTAAAGAGGTCAGCTAGAAATACCATATACATTATCAAGACTAAAGACTGAAGAGGTCAGCTAGAAATACCATATACATTATCCGGACTAAAGAGGTCAGCTAGAAATACCATATACATTATCCAGACTAAAGAGGTACCATATACATTATCCAGACTAAAGAGGTCAGAAAATACCCATATACATTATCCAGACTAAAGAGGTCAGCTTATACATTATCCGGACTAAAGAGGTCAGCTAGAAATACCATATACATTATCCAGACTAAAGAGGTCAGCGAGAAATACCATATACATTATCAAGACTAAAGACTGAAGAGGTCAGCCAGAAATTCAATATACATTATCCGGAATAAAGAGGTCAGCCAGAAATTCAATATACATTATCCAGAATAAAGAGGTCAGTCAGAAATACCATATGCATTATCAAGACTAAAGACTGAAGAGGTCAGCCAGAAATTCAATATACATTATCCAGAATAAAGAGGTCAGTCAGAAATACCATATGCATTATCAAGACTAAAGAGGTAGGCTAGAAATACCATATACATTATCAAGACTGAAGAGGTAAGTCAGAAATACCATATACATTATCAAGACTAAAGACTGAAGAGGTCAGCCAGAAATTCAATATACATTATCAAGACTAAAGAGGTCAGTCAGAAATACCAAATACATTATCCAGACTAAAGAGGTCAGGGAGAAATACCATATACATTATCCGGACTAAAGAGGTCAGCCAGAAATACCATATACATTATCCAGACTAAAGAGGTAAGTCAGAAATACCATATACATTATCCAGACTAAAGAGGTCAGCTAGAAATGCCATATACATTATCCAGACAAAAGAGGATCATCCAGAATAACGCTATTCAGTATCCAGGCTAACGAGGGTCAGTCATAAAAATTCATACAGCATTCACGCTAACGAAGGTGAGTCAGCCAGCCAGAACAAAGCCACACAGTATTCAGATTATGGAGGGTCGTTCAGAAATATCCATGCAGTATCCAGTCTAACGAGATCAGTCAGCCAGAATAACTCCTTACAATATTCACACTAAAGTAGGTTAACCAGAATTACCACGAAACAGTAATTCTTTGGGAATTGAGACTTTCGAAAATATATGATTTTATAGTAGTCAATTAAAAATCTCATCATTATGTTCGGATTTATGAGAGAATTTTACAAATGGCAACATATAATACAATTTAAAGTTAGATATTGTACTGCCCAACAATTAATTAAACCGCTTCATACATATATTCCTTTTCTGGAAGTCGTCAATATGCTAAGAACCTTAAGTTTGAAGTCTAGGAGGCGACTTAGAAAACTCCAAAGTGATCGCAGGAAATGTCAAAATCTAGATGGGGAGGTGCAATAGCCCTCTATATCATTATACTTAAGAGAAACACTCTAAACTAATCCATCGGGGTTTGGACTTACACCAAAATTCATTTTTTTCATTTCAATGACTGCACTTAAAACGGTCAAATTTATACGATTCCTTCCATTTCGGATAACAAAGGACACTGTACTTACAAAAATGAATGCATGTAGATGCACACCTCAGTTTTTGTTAGATTTCTATAATTACAATGAAACCCTCACTTTAATCTGGGCTTTTCGCCGACACATTAACATCTAAGCTTGGAACCTTAAATGACATTATGGAACACAACATTGTTTGCTTGCAAAACTTATTTAATGCCCCTACCTGTTATTACAAGACAGTTCAGGATAAAAACAAATCAACTCCTGGACATACCCATTAACATAAATTCAATGCAGCCACTGCAGAGTATTAACAAAAGAAAGATTTACAAGGAGACAAAGTACACGAAGAATAAGACTAGATATTCCAAAAGAGTCTGTGTCTTTTGCTTCGTCAACGACACCCTCCATATAAATATTGGTAAATCAAAGTAATGTCAAATTCTCAAATGAGAACAAGGTATACAGCAACGGAACCAACAGGCAAACTAACGAGCATCACACACGCCCAGCTTCATATCACAGAAAGAAATAGATATTTCTCAATTAGATCACTATGAAAATATATATGACGACTGTAAAGTTTCTCCTTAATTTTCTTCAAACTGGATCTTTTGAAACCCTGTGTTGTGAGTTTGTCCGTCAGTTGAGACGATATCCTGCATGGAAATCGTGATAAAAACCTTTTGTTGCTTTATTGAAATCATGTTGGCGTGAACCGTTACAATTTCTATGTCCACAATATGACATTGTTATAGACAGTTACTGTACCCTAAGTCACTAAATTGCTTTGGTTATATGATATAAGCTTTACAACAGCATTGGCATGCAAATATATAGTATATTCTAATTCCTCTAAATGTCTATATGATGTTTGACGCTGAAATTTACCTTTTTGCAGATGAGGTTTCTTGACTGTACGCGTGGTGGAAAAGATCCGTCCAAATCGATTCTAGATGTTGGCGTAGCCGATGCACTAATGTTTAGCGGCTTCGATGAATCCATGTTCTTCAAACGAGGAGGGAAATATAAGTGGAGCAAAGCCGACATGAAACTTGAATGGTGAAGCAGTCATAGCACACGAACTGAAAAAAACTTTCATTCTGTTTGATTTTTCTTGTTTTATGTATATATGTTATGATTCATTAATCTATTTGTTGAATTTTATTTGTATTTATATATTGATTATTGTTCGAAATTCATCATGCTTTGTTTTTAACTCATACTCGATGTATTTCAAAAGCTGTGGTTCCAGCATCTGTTGTCATTCGTTACAACATCACAGCCAACAGCTGTAGTACTATTGTCTGGTAGTAATAATTTGTTATAATGACATGGCCGACGTATTGATCGTCACTAAGACAGCTAACACACTTAGCTTCATAGATATCAATGATAGATGTCACAAAATAACCTGAAAGAAACTTTTATGATTTGCGAGAAAAACTAATTTAAAAAAAACCCCGGTAACTCATTACCAAATTTAATATAGAAAAATAATTCAAAATCTTATTTTTTCAAAGTATTTCAAATAGGATTTATAGACTATATAGTCATAAATATAACACTGAAGACATAGAATTATAATGTGAAGATCGGTTCTTCAATAAGTAAAAGTATCTACACCTGTGATCAAAAAGAGCTTTTTTCGGGCCTAGAAAAGCATGAAGTCTTGATGCGTCAGGCGAAGATTCGATTTGCAGGCCCAATTATAATTATATTCGAAAAGAGAGTCTGATTTACACAATATCATTTATTTCGTTCAGCTACGTATGAACTAGCCTCTTTCCAACATTTTTATAGAATCTAAACTCTTTCAAAAAACCAACAGGGCAACATAATAATAATTCAAAATCAAGTTCCATAAAACTAGAGCAAAATATAACAAAAGAAAGATTCACTCAGAGACTTACAAAATACAAGGAGAATAAGACCAGGTGTTCCGGTAGAGTGGGCGTATTCTGCTGCATCGACGGCACTCGTCATTTAACTACTTCTTGCACAAAAATCTTGATAATTCGAAACAAATATCGAATCAGGTGTGATGAATAAATAACAAAGGTTGGAGATACAGGCATATTGCTATGCAAAAATGGAACATTCACAATATGGAAATTGAAATCATCACATTTATCATACAACTTGATTGAAAGCTGTTAATGTTGGTTTCGTTGTAGGTAAAGGTCGAGATAAGCAGTTGATGTAGAAGAGTCTGTCGTATATTTGAATTCTGGTGGATATATACGATGGACGTAGTCGATAAATTTCTTGTTATTTAAAGACAAGACATTGTTATGTATTGTTAAGTATGTGATGAAAGATATCTGCCCTCCTGACGTCACTCATTCTATTAGATTCATATCTTTCCAGACGTTTTACAGTGATATTTCTAAATGCTTCATACATTCAATCGACTGTGGCTGGTAATTGAAATGGCTCCTCATGGTTCTATCTACTTGGAACGATTAGTTCACAATTTACCTATACTAATAGACAAAACAATGTATAGTATTTATATAATAATCAGAGAAAAGACAACCACCCGCCTATACTACATTTTCTCTTCCTTGATATTGAGTGTTCCGGCAGCTATTCCAGCTTATAGTTTGTTTGTGTCTGATATATCTGTTTTGATTGTTGACATTTATAACGATGTTTTTTCCTGTTTGAATAAAGAATTAAATGCTATTGTTTTCTAATTGACTGTCCGTGTTTAAAGTGGGAAATCATAAATAAGATACAGTCAAATCTCATTAACTCGAAGTCGGCGGTACCGCGGGAAAACTTCGAGTTACCCGAGTATTTGAGTTAAAGTTAGAATCTTCAGTGTGAAGTTTGACAGGAACCGTCAAAATACTTCAAATTATGCAGGGACTTCTAGTTATAAAGGTTATACTGTAAATCTATGTATTGTTTTTATTCCGGTTTGTGCATTATTTGTTTCTATAGAAACCAACCAACCAAATGGTTTTACGTAGACTTATTTATTATTTTAGAAATTATACAGATTGAGCTCTCAAACATATTTTTTCTTCAAAGAAAAAAAAGCGTTTCATTTATGAGAAGTTCTATAGAAATAATAACAATTAAAAAAAATACTATAGGATTTCTGTCATATACGCTATTTAGAACTATATATGATACGAAGTTATTAGATGGAAAAGTCAACTTTCAGTGACGACATTGATCTAATTGTGGGATTGCTGAATCTCCACGTGTAGATTTTGACTTTTCTTTCGATCACTTTAGATTCAGCTCAGTCGCCTTCTACGCTTCACAATCTGTGCCCGAAGCATCAATGACGGGTCCTAGAAGATCTCAACAGAAACATGATTCAATCCCATTCATTGTTTGGCTCTACTGAATCTAACTACATATAAATTTGCATTGCTTTTCACTTGTATGTCTTTCCACGCACAATCTTTGAATTCAGTATAATTGCATTTTGGTTTTTGTTTAAAAAAGCTGTCCATGAATCTATATTTGATTGATGTTTAGCGCCGTTCTTTTTGTAAAAATAAAGCAGATGTTTTGCTTACCTTCTATTTGGAACCTTTACCTGGTTGAATTAAGTTTAAAACATCTGAAGTTAGTAGAATCATACTCTGTACACACTTGCACACGCTCCCTCGATATGAAGACACGTCAATAGATTATAACCAACGTACATCAGACAACAGTACATTACACGACATTCCACAACAGACATCATGTTGTATAACACCACATGAAAGACACCACATTGCATGACGTAAAAACATCACATTACATGACATCATGGTACATTATAGGTAGGAACAATTTATAACAGTTAAAAAATTATGAAGTAACGTATTCTACCTTTGGAGTTTAAATTCAGATCAGTTTGGTTGCTGATGATTTCAGCACTGAAACAAAGAAACTAAAGCTGAATTAAATGAATATATATACAATTATATTTCGTTGTCGTAACCATTGACAAATTCCTACAATTAAAAATCCTGACGACTACTTACTATTCACACAGGTAACTGCTGCCGCGTACTGGTGTCGATTACCTACTGCTCCGAAATTCTCCAAAGCCACCAATTGGATTTAGTCCATACAGGTCGGTTGCTGACTGTTGTACATGCCAATCTCATGACTCACCGTGATTGCAATGCCCGCCCTGACGTAAAATCATTGACTCGGTATCATTATTAACTTTATAAGATGGTATCACTCAACAGTTTAGTCCTTGTCTTATCTTAAAACTTACTATACACATTATTATGCATTATTGGAACAATTTCCACAAGACAAACTGGTTTCTCCACACAACAATAAAATCCTTTTAATACACTGTGCTGTTAAATAACTTGTATCTTCAATGGTTCCATTAAACATTCTGCTCAAAATGTCATGTTTGAGCTCTTCAGTAGTTTTCTAGGTAATATTTTGTGATAATTATAGCACTAGTGTAAAGACTATGAGGAAGACTTTCATTTACCTAATACCTAAATATTGATATTATTTCGTTTCTCATACTAGATACCCTCAGAAGTAACTTATTTGTATCCAGGCATCCGATATGCCACTCTGGCGTCCTTATCGTCCCAGTAACATCCCCAACATACCCCCAGTGCCCGCAGAAGTACACTTCCACCCGCCCTGTCCATCACCCGACATTTCCGCAAGACTTACCCTCTACAAATGTGGTATCTATCACCAAACACGATCATTATCTATTGTCACATATCAAACGGGAGAAATTTGTCTTCCTTGGTTACCAGGCGCAAGAAACGCCTTTTAACCGAGATACTCAAGTCTTTCGTGACACATCAATTTAAAGTATTTGATGTTGTGACACCGATATTGAACGTGATGTTGTGATTATGATATTGTAGCTGTTGTTGTGATTCTGACATTGTACCTGATGTTGTAATTCTGATATTGTACCTGATGTTATGATTCTGATATTGTACCTGATGTTGTGATTCTGATACTGTACCTGATGTTGTGATTCTGACATTGTACCTGATGTTGTGATTCTGACATTGTACCTGATGTTGTGATTCTGACATTGTACCTGATGTTGTGATTATGACATTGTACCTGATGTTGTGATTCTGACATTAAATCTGATGTTGTGATTCTGACATTGTACCTGATGTTGTGATTCTGATACTGTACCTGATGTTGTGATTCTGATACTGTACCTGATGTTGTGATTATGATATTGTAGCTGTTGTTGTGATTCTGACATTGTACCTGATGTTGTAATTCTGACATTGTACCTGATGTTGTGATTCCGATATTGTACCAGATGCTGTGATTCTGACATTGTACCAGATGTTATGATTCTGATATTGTACCTGATGTTGTGATTCTGACATTGTACCTGATGTTGTGATTCTGATACTGTACCTGATGTTGTGATTCTGACATTGTACCTGATGTTGTGATTCTGACATTAAATCTGATGTTGTGATTCTGATACTGTACCTGATGTTGCGATTCTGATATTGTACCTGATGTTGTGATTCTGACATTAAATCTGATGTTGTGATTCTGACATTGTACCTGATGTTGTAATTCTGACATTGTACCTGATGTTGTGATTCTGATACTGTACCTGATGTTGTGATTATGATATTGCACCTGATGTTGTGATTCTGACATTGTACCTGATGTTGTGATTCCGATATTGTACCTGATGTTGTGATTCCGATATTGTACCAGATGCTGTGATTCTGACATTGTACCAGATGTTATGATTCTGATATTGTACCAGATGTTCTGATTCTGATATTGTACCTGGTGTTGTGATTCTGATATTGTACCTGATGCTGTGATTCTGATATTGTACCTGTTGCTGTGATTATGAAATTTTGCATGATTAGGGTAAGATTAAGAGACATGCTGTTTCACCTCTTCAAACATGCCTGGGGAAATTCGTCTGAATTGTTGTTTAAAGGGTTTTGGTTCTAACAATTCTGTCTTATTCTTAACAAGATCCGTGTTACCCAAATACCAAGCATTTGTGGAGAAATAAGACTCCATTTACCAAGTGCTTCTCAAATAGTATCCAAATGTTCCTCAGGCAAAAAACTGCTGATATCAACCTGTACATCTAGCTCTTCATGAGCAGACTTTCTTCTCATTGTCACTACATTCGAAGCTAAGTCATATACAACCTTAATTTCCTGAACATGGCATCGATATGGGTTTTGCAGACAAATTACAAATTTGAACGCGTTGCCTCACTATATTAAACTGTTGGTTACACTTAATCACCCTAGGATAAACTGCAAACTTGGCATCATCATGTGTTCAGTGAGAACCTCATTGATATTATGTCCTACGCCCGTATCGGTTTCATCTACCATACAATATCATAAGGCTCTACAGAGTGATCTCAAATAGAACTTCTCACAATGAATACTGTTCGTATCTACCTCCCACTCTTGTGGTACATCTGTCGTGCCTGTCTTACCAGACAAAACCTCCTTATATGGTCTAATAATATTAGTACCCGCGATGACTTCTCATTGTATTAAGTGTTAGACACTATTAAGACTTGAACTGGGATATTAAGACCATTTAAAAATGGATTCCGAACCCTCGTTTCGATAAATCCTGAGTATTTCAAACTCGTACCACCTGCTATTGACACTTCCAAACCTAACGTATCTAAATGTTGCAACTCCGGTTTATCTTTAAATTGAAAATACCCTTTCTGTGACAAAGTCGTAACCATAGATCCTCTATTAATCAATGTCATCATTTCCTCAACGTGCAGAACACTCTTACTCTCATTCTTTTCTTCTATCCTCCTATCAAATACTGGTTGACCTTTATTGGGTTGAATATGGGTCTCTACACGGCCAGCAGACGTTCACGCGTTTGTTTCACTGTAACCGTCGTCTGTCTGAAGGCTTCTGTTACTACATTAAACTTTGTACCCTTGATCACTTCCTTTCTGACCTTGACCCGCCTGACCTTTCTGAGCTTGCTGGCCTGACCTTAACCATCATAACTACGAACTCTGTAGTGATAACCTGTTCTCTTGAAATTCAATCTTGTCTAGCACCTGATCATTTACCCTTTCATCTAGCTTCGCAAACTTCTTGTCAAACCTCTTTTTCAGCTCCTCTATTGCACTAAGCTGCTCTGACCTATCTTTCTGAACTGAATGCTGCTGTATCTTCTTCCCATAAAATATTACCACCACCACTGATATCTACCTAGCTCTCGACAATACGAATTTCTTTCAGCAATAGGTCGTGATCTAGTATCGTATCAAACTTATGCAGGGTCTGTTTCTATCACAACATAGCGATGACCAGAACTTCCCACGCAGCAAATCATTCTTGGAATAATTGTCTAAATGTCCATGTTCTACAGCCACCTGTAACCTGCAGTCTAACCAACAACCAAAATCTAGCAGTTTCACTTTGCTTTGGATAGGAGTTAACGAATTCCCGCATGATCATATCCTTGGTGCATACATCATCATACAAGATATCAAACTTGCTCAAGATCTCGTCCACACTATGTTGATTGTCAACCCCCATCAGAGCTAATCTGGCATTCCCTCTAAGGGACCTACGAATAGCTTGACCTTTGTCACTCTCAGATATGCATGGGTCATCTGCTAAATACCGGACTTAATAACTCCATTCCCTATAAGTAACTTCATTCGTATGAGATTGTTGATCCCTTGAAAACTTGGGTATTTCAGGGATACTACTACAGTTATGACTAAGGGATCTCGACACAGTGTCGTCAATTTTAAGTTTGTTGCCTGGTTAAGGAATGCTAGCTTCAAATTTAAAACTAGTTTTCTTAACATGCTCTTCCCCCTCTGTAAGAGGCGTGGTGTTAAACTTACCAGTAGATGTAAGGTTTGTAGTAATTACCAATTCCTAAGCAGTAAGAGACAATACATTAAATAGTATGTTCAATATGTAGAAAATTTTCAGACAGTCAAACTGGTATTTGCTGAATTTCCACCTTAATCGGTTGTCGAGTGGAACAAGGCTAAAGGTCACCCCGATTCCCATATACTTTTAGAACAAGATTTGGTTTCTGAATCGAGGCTACATTATTTGAATGAATATTTACATGCAGTGAATAACCGGACCAGTGTCAAATCCTCTTGTTTACGAGTTGATATACTCAGGTAAGGAAAGTCAAAGTCAAAGGTTAAGCCAGAGTGGTGTAAATATTTGATGGCATACATCCTGGTACATTACTAGCTAGGTGTTGGCTGAAGAATGTTTTTGTTGTGTATTCTACAATGTGCTAGATATATGTAGGGTATTCTAGACATTTTACTTATTGTAGTTTAGTATTTGATACTTGTAGTACATACAGTTATACATATGGTAATAGAATATAGACTTTAACTTTAACTGACGTTTTGGGGCTGCCCTATCTTTCGGATAGATTTCGTAGCAAAAGCTTATAAGTATAGCCTACAAAACAAACTCATGACACAAGGCTTCGAGGGACGCTGCTTAATGGAGAAAACTGGAAAGTTTTATGGTCATTTCCAGGATCTCAACGGGGAATGATATTTCCTTGTTCGATTTGAAGTTATGTGTTTAATGGTCGTTAGGGTGCCTGCTTGTTCCGTTGTTATAAACTTGTTCTCAGTTTGAAACGTGACATCAATTCTTGGATTGACAAAATGTACATGGCGATTTCACTGATTGAGCAGAGGACGCTTACTCCTCCGGAACACATTGTTTTATTATCTTTATACTCTTTCATATGTAAACACTTAACTCTGCCCTTGTGTTATTGAGTTTCTGTTGACGTATCGGTACTTGATATGAACAAAGAATCAACACAAAAACAAAATACATATCACTTGTGATATAATACCTTCTTCCGCTGTACTGCAAATTTGAAGAGTTCAAAACGTTGATAGAAAGCAGCATTCATATCCAACTGACAACATAAAACTTTCCGTCAAAAAGTAACAGATGTAACCTGCTTTATGTAGCCTTCAACGAAAACAACGCATTGGTTAGACGACATACGCTGTGCAGACATCCAACAATTGACTTGTGTAGTTAGCGAGTAAAACCTAGATTTAAATAGTTTCGTTATGGCGCGGGTAACATGGACGAGGAATTCAGAATTTCTTTTATCCTGTGTTGGATTTGCCGTTGGTTTGGGAAATATTTGGCGATTTCCTTCTCTGTGTTACAAGAATGGTGGAGGTAAATATCTTATTACTTTTCTTGTCTTCATTGCGTATGTATTAATCTTTGTATATCTCATATTTGCCTAGTCTATCACAGGAGTTCCTTTATTTACATTGTTTTCGATTTCTCAAACAAAATGTTGATGGTAATCGTGTCTGTCATGAAAATTCTTATTCAGTTAGGGTTTTAAAAACCGGTTGCCTTCACGTTGTTTTGACTCCAGTATCACTGAGGTTGCTATAAAGACGAAACAGCTGTATGATGATGTTTTGGCTATACTGTAGCAACATGTCTAACCTATATCTACAAGAAGACTGATTTTAGTACTTAGTATCATAATAGTCTTGGTGAAATGAATATTTCATACCGGGAAATCAATCATTAGTGATAAAAACTATAGTGGGAAATATGACGGATTTTCATGATGAACAAAGGCATGATATTTACATTATTATTTCCATTAAAATACTCCCACTGGCTGAAATCAGCTAAATCAAAGTTTATTCAGCACTAACATATCCAGAAATCCCAGACATGTGTTGATAAGGTCTACTAAGGTAGTGTTTAAGACACTGTTATATTGATATTGTACATAATAAGGTTCACTTTGCCTCGGGATGTATTGTAATTGTGTCGGTATACTTGAGTGCTAGTCCAGATGTTCATTAGAGATATCCACTCGAGATGTGAATCAAACTTAGAACGGAAGCAAGGGTCCATGCATTAAAGATTTCAGATACAACATAAAACCAGTTTTCTTCACAGCTAGTTGCACTCTAAGTACCTTGTCATCTCGACCTTATGCTGACAAAAGAGCCATTGAAGAAATGCTGGTTAAATATTTCCCTGGCTGTGTCACATAAAGCAGATTACAAAGTAAATATCATTATGTCATGGCCAGTGATTGTATTCTCAATAAAGCATGGTAGGGTTGTGTATCGACATTTGTTTGTCATTATTAATTCATCCAGACATCAATTATACCTTGGTAACTTCCGATAATGTCCTTTACTTTCAAGGTAAACAAACAATGCCCAACACGTGTTTGTTCACTAATTACACAAGATTAAAATAATTACATCTCATTGATTTGATGATTTGACGCTGTTAGCATACCGACCGACCTGAATGTCACCAATAGTAATATTACTTGTAGAGTAAGTAAAGGCTGTTTCTATAAGCATTTTTTGAAGTTTTTTTTTATTTTTTATTTTATTTGTTGTCCAATGTTTTAAAAAAAGTTGTACTTGTGTATGCTACTCATATGAATCCAAGTATCGTATTCGTATTTCTATTACAAAAGCCTTCAGTTTAAATTGTAAAATTATTATGCATCATCACCATGGCGACCTTGTTAGATTTATTAATTCTTTAGAAAACAACAAACTCTACTTATGAACTTAAAATGGCGGGTTTTTTTTTTATTAAACGACTTATACATAAAGATGAACATAAATACATTTCAATAAATGTAAATATTCAAAACTTTCTTGTAAATGATGTGTAAACCCCTTAAGGCGAAGTCATCTCTTCCCCACCTCCCTTACATTATATTTTAATAAGTTTAAAAATTATTCACATAGGAAAAAAATGTTTATGAAAATTATTTGATATGATACAAAATTGACCATACAGTAAGACTGCATATGCTTGTACATGTATGTAAATGTATGTTTTCAAAATAATAATTGCATTTATACAATCAAACTCTATAAGTTAATGGACATAATATCTGAGGAGGAGAGAAATGTGTCACCAAAAGAACCCATGTAATCGGATTTAAATAAGGCAGGTAAATAAGTATACCCATTAGTTTCGCATACTACCTTACTTTTAGTCAATATGTTTGAGAAAATTAATTAATAAAACAGAAGACAAAAAACAGGAACATAAACAGCACGTCAAGCTTACATTGATGTTACTACTGTACAATTACCATAAGAATATCATTCCATATTGGAATTTTTCATTATAAAACAGTACCTGGTCCAGTAATACCCTATCAGAAAGATGGAAAAGAAAATAAACTATATAATTTTGGTTAATGTGGTATTAGATAACATATAAATACATTAAGACTAATCATTGTCATTACATATGCAGATTACGTGCATGTACGTGGTACTACTTAAACCTAGCACCTATGATAGCGCCCGGTACTGCTATCTGCCAGTAGTAGGCCAACAAACAATATTGCAGCATATATACGCGTATAGGTTTTTTGTTAAACACATACACAAATTAATGTTTAATGTCAAGTGGTGTGACATAACCAATATTTCAATTTAGCCTCACTTTTTCTCAACCAGATCAACAAATGGATATTTTTCAGATACACAAATTTAAACTATTTTTTTCTGCTGTAGAAGCATACCCCATCTCTTCTCAAGTAGACTAGCCCGTCTTTTACTAACACTGTTGGGGGTGGCACAACACTGTATTCTGCGCCCCTTTGTAGACTAAAAACTGCACCAAGTATATCGTTACAGTCTATAAGGCTGTTAGGACTATTGCCGTACCCCAAGGAAGACGTGAATATAACATTATTTACGATAGCATCATCTCGTTTCTACACCAGTGATTTTGTCTTCATGGATATTTGTTCACGAATTGTACTAATACTGTAATCAGCATGATCAGCAAATTGCCCAAAATTTGATACAACCGTTTTACTGTGATGGATTTAGTTTTGTACTCCCGATAATTAGAGATATGGTTTCATAAAACATTTCCAAATGTCTTCGAAATCCTTGTATGTATACAACCCTAATATACACGTCAGCTGCCGGGTAAGATTTACCACCTCCCCTGTTGGGGGCCTCATCCGCGCAGTCCGTTTACAACATTAACTAAACCTATGATGAAACTTGCTGTAATTATCCATGGTAGATAATGATCTGTTGCCTTAGCGACCATATAGGTACTTAGGAATATGCTTATTTATTCGAGGGCGAGTTGCTTTCTGGAGGTTATAACACATATAGAAGAAAATTTCAATGTGACGTTACAATGAGATCAGTATCACCATACTGAGACAAGGAACGCGTGTGAAGTGTAGCCCCGACGTAATTGAAACATAATACTTACATTTCCTACTGGTTATGTAAAAAAACTCTTTTCTTCAACTCGATCGGTTTAGCGTAGAACTAGTAACCTTAAGGTCATTAAATTGCGAAATATCAACTTTTTTTCTATCTATCTTTCTCAGTATAAAAACCACTAAAATATCTTTCTTGAACAAAAGTAGTATACTTCCTTGTCTACATCAGTGCTTTAAACAACCACATTAATCTGTTATCCAATTTGCATTTGCTCGTTTTAACTATACACAAGAATCAGTCACGAACTTTTTCATATTAAAGAAACATTTCAAGGATTTAATTCAAACATAAAAATTAAGATAATTACAACGCATTATCTTTAGTCCGTATCTTTCATTCATGTCGGGCATATATAACGCTACAGAAATAATTTTCATGGAAGAACTTATTACAGTTTAACTTAGCATTTAACTGCAGATACTGAATTTATCACTGATAAATGTCACATTCTGGATATGTTCCTTTCTTAAAACTCTCTAACAATATGTATATCTAGAGTTATATGAACAATACTTTTTTTCCTGAACCCCTTTTCCTTACCTATGACCGCTTCAAGGTCTGGAAACCACACCAGAATAAACGTCCTCTCGGCTCGTCACCCAATTAAGGTCACCCGGAATGTTATTCACGACATTAAATGGGTTTTCCTTTATAGTGACCTCAGATCTGCCTTCCATCAATAGCAGCTTGTTTTGATTCCTATATTACACTTTGACATACTTTAAACATGTTCGTGATCATTAAACCGAGATAGATTGCTACATCGATATCGTGTAACGTGTAGCTACTCATGTGATAAAATCTGTAAGTGAAATTTTCTTAAGATACTGTGTATGTAGTGGGGTAGCTTATCACATTCGCCCACTTACAGTGATGTAGTATCGCCATGGCACGGGAAACCTGGAGGAGAAATTCGGAATTTTTGCTATCATGTGTTGGATACGCTGTTGGCTTGGGAAATATCTGGAGATTTCCTTCTCTGTGTTATAAGAATGGAGGAGGTATAAATCTTAATATTATTTGAGCTGGTTTATTTTCAGTTTCCTTGTGTGATACTGTTGGTCCCGCATATCTCTTGAGTGCGTACCGCTCTGGTGTACCTGGATTTTGATCAGTCTTTTGTTTGGCCATGTCTTTCAAGAAATGGCTGATTGTAATGAAAACTGAACAGTTGAAGTCCCATACACGCGGTCATTTTATCGTTTTTTCTCTCTTCGAATCAATTACAGGTTAAGGGATATTAAGCATTTTAAGTTCAGTGTCTACCACTCGTGCCCGCACTGATCTGTTTAAAAGCAGTTTTGAAATTTGCCACCATCGGCATTAACGAATTGATACTTTTTTTTTCCGAAACGACCACAATTTACAAACGGTTATTTTTTACGTTGAATTCTTCAACCATTTTCAATAGAAGGGGAATATTTCTTTTATCGTTTTGTTGTTGCTGTATTCGGTATCCTGGAATGCTGGAAATCCTATGTTATGAGTGATTGTCGCTTATTACTTTGAATTACTCTGTATAATGAGAATATAATTCAACGAATAAGGTAAGATTATGGCATATGGCGGAGTCTGTCGTCTTAGAAACGCTCTTAGCCAAGTACAACTGAACGGATTTCGACCAAATTTAGTCAGAAGCATCCTTACGAGAATGTAAATCAATTTTGCATTTTATACCTCTGGAGCACGAAAGGGGACATTTAGCAAATTCTTTGAAATTCTTCTTCTTCGATAAGAATTTCCTCCAAATTCGGTCTGAAGCCACTTAGATAAAGGCGCTTTAAATAAACGGGTTTTCTCGACCCTAGCAGGTGCTGGCGGGAAAGGGGAGTCCGAGAAAATCACTCTTTGTTTTGGAAATATCAGCATTCTGTCCGAATTTGGTCTGAAATATCCATGGGTGAAAAGGACTCAATTTGTATAAACGATTTTCCTGACGCCCTAGGGGCGGGCCCACAAAGGGATTTAAGTTCTTTGAAACCCTATTTCTTCTGTAGGATTGCGTCCTTGGGTAAAGAGGAATCAATTTTGTATTAATAGTGTGTCTCATCGCCCAGGAACAGGAGGGGCGGAAGAAATTCTTTTTTTACCTAGAATTCAGTTTATTCTTCTTTACGAATGGCGAGGTTCAGTCAAAAACTGGTATAGAACAACTTTGGGTGTACAGGAATCAATTTTGTATAAACATTGGGTCTCGGCCCCTTGGGATAGGAGAGGCATTACACAATATAATGAAGGAAATTCTTTAAAATCATACTTCTTCAGTAGGAATTGCATGATTCTGCTCCAATTTGTTCTGAAGTATCAATGGTTTTGTTAACAACCCCCCCCCCCCCCCCACCCCCCAACCCAACCCCCAACCCCCGGAGCAGAGGGTTGGTGATCATAGGCATAGACCTTAAACATCCTTTTCCCATAGTTTTGATTAAGAAATAACGGTCAAACCAAGCCAGATAAGCAACACATGCTTTAATGGTACCACTGTCTCGAAAGATACAAAAGTAATAAATCAAACTTTCCATTCCGTCCATATGTTGGGGCATGTACATTCTGACAAATGTTCCATTATGCAGGAATATCGTTAACTATCATAGACACTGCACTGCTTTGATGGACTTTTAGTTCCCGAGAATTGCCATAACCTGCATTCAAGTTCCAATTCGTTCGAATGTTGTACAAAAAATACACAGGTGAATAACAGTTTATGATACAATTTTAGCATTAGATACAGTAGAACATAACAATGTTGTAAACTGCATCACACAGCTGTTTCGTCCTTCTAGGGCTCGTCAGTGATGGTAGGGCCAAAATTTTGGAGCCTGGAGAAAATCCAAAGAGACCGGAAATATAGTCAAATTCTAGATGGTGAGGTGCACGAGCCCCCTAATTAGATAAATGTCGCTATTTTCATATATCTGATAATTTCAAAAGAATTTCAATTTTATATGCGGCAAGAATAATACAGCTGTACAGAGGAGTTTAATGCATTGTTTAGCTCAACTATACGGTTCAAAATATATGAGCGATTGAGGACCATCGGGCCTCTGGTGTTTTACAGGTTCATCTCACAATTTGTCTTACTTAGCAATGTTTTATCTTTTAACATAGGACATTCTTTATATCTTTTACTTTTTACTACTGTTAGGAACATACATTAAGCGCACTTACTGTTGGTAGCATTTTAAGCAAACCGTTCATAGGACATGGACAATGAATTCACAACTGAATTTGCCTGAGTTAAAACATCAAACATGGTATACAGCACTCTAAAATTTTACAGGTAAAGTTTTCCGAATTAGTGAATTGTGACGAGTGTTAAGTGTTCCGAACTTGATGTCTTTTTCATCACCCAATATTTCTTGGGTCGTTGTATCTAAAGTGTACTAAAATGCAAGGGGAATTGAGTTTCTATCCTGCAGAAATTCAATCATTAAACCGACAAAGACTTTGTAAGCTGCCGACCATTCGATCAATGCAGGCCTAAAGTGTTATTAGGATATGGTGAAAAGATTCTTTATTCTTACTATGTTACTTCCGTTTTTGTAGCCTCATTTTGATTGGTTCATTGTGAAAGAGATTATCACAGTCTATATATATATTACATAGCACATTGAAAGAAGGACCCATTGCAACATTTTCACGTAGATCACAAATTCAAAATGGCTGTCATGATGTCATTTGTTAAAACCTTTTACACAGCTTTAATTCGAAAACCTTTGATTGTAGAGAATTCAAGCAATTATTTTATAGATAACTGTCATATCCAACCTTTTTCATTACATAGTCATACAAAAATGATGAAAGATGAAAAAGCTCGCTGGTGGTCAAAGTTCACAATATTGTTTTTTAATTTTTAAATTCTTTTACAATATTCTTATACAGATGACAGCAGGATGTCGTTCTAGTAACTTTGACGTCTAATTTTTTCTGTACGTTTACCGCCAGCGTTGTCGTAAGCCCTTTTGATCTTTAAAAATGTCGGCAATTCATTCATAATGACATTACACTAATATAAATGACTATTTAGTTTAATTGTAATGGAAAATATTTTCCCATATGCCTGCTAGCATTTGATGATATTTCGATATTCATCGAAAAACCAAAATGACCGTCATGACGTCATATCTAGTTTTTTTCGCCAAGTTACCGTTTACACTAATTTCAGTTTTGGACATATTTTGTAAACTTCCAAGAAGACTCTTCCCAAAGGAAAAAAATGTGTCAAAGGTCTACTTCCGAATTCCGGTAGGGGTCAAAGTTCAAAAGTGTTTTTTTTTTTTTTTGTTATTGTTTTTTTTTTTTTTTTTTTTTTTTTTTTGCTTTTGGCAAACACCAAGATTCGGTCTTTAAGTAATTCTGCCGGAAAAAAGAACTTAGCAATAACTACTCCATGGGTGTGAATGATATCGGGGTTTTAGTTTAGAAGGAAAATGATGAATTATCACTCTAAATGGCGTTCTTATAGGAAAATGAACAAAACCTTGACCTTTGTGATTCACTCGTTTGACACTTGGATCAATTAATTTTATGAATTAATGCAATCAATATGGCTTATAAACATTTGTGTCCGATGTGACAGAGTACAAGAATTAGCTGAATAGACATGCTACTGCAGCAATTTTATTGTACGTATCAAAATGTCTTTGGCATGAAATTATAAGTCTAGGAATAATGTCTACGGAATGAAATTTAAGAGCAAATGACAGCTTCTTTCTCAGATCGGACAATATCAAAATTACCATAGAGTTTGAACCGAAGATGTAGAAGAATGATGATAGATCAAAAATATGTTTTCACGTTCTAATCTAAAACTTGCTAGTGTTCGACTTGATTTTCATATAAGTTATGACATTATCTGCTTCATCAACTGCTTACTAATGGCTTACATTATTGAAACCTAAGAGATGGCTGAGAAACGTATCATGTTGATCTTTACAGGTGTTATTGTTCTATCCTGAACATAGAAAATAAAACAATGAAATATAACACCTATTCATATTTGCGACTCCATTACTTGATATTTCATTTCTGTCTTCTTGTATCACTGTTTCTACAGGTGCGTTTCTGGTCCCGTACCTCTTCTCTTTGGTCTTCGGTGCAGCACCTGTTGTGATTATGGAGTTGGGACTTGGACAGTATATGAGCCAAGGTGCTGTCGGTGTCTGGAAGATATGCCCGCTGTTTGAAGGTAGTATTGATGATTACACGTATATATATGTCATTAATCTCTGTTGCATTGGATTTCATATTCAAATATTTAACCTTTGAATGAAAAGAAAAGAAAAGAAAATCTTCCCTAGATGTAGAAAAATATGTTGATGACACGATTGTTAAAATTCACACCGAAATCAAATTTTGGATATTTACTGGGACATAATAAACTACATCATATCCGAACAAAATACATGAATGGACACAAATCTAAAATATAGCAAATTATTTATTACAGCCTACAGTTATAACGATATACCATAAATACGTCACAGCCAACACGCTATATCGCGAAAGGCGTCAGGGATCACGTCACCTTGAACATACCAATAACATATAAACTCCAACAAGTTTACCCATCACATACATGTCATATATATATTTTAAATTTTTGAATATGAAATAAAAAGGTTGGTAAATCTAACATATATAACCTGAATGATTCGATGAAAGTTTTCAATATGTGGACTTGTCCATTCATGCATGACGAGTTATCATAATTCCTTCAATTTGCTTAGTTTTCCGATCCATACTGCTCATCTAAACCAGTGAACCGAATAAATCCATTAAAATGTTGAGTTTTTTTTTTTTTTTTTTTAATTCAAAACTCATGAATATTTCTTGTTATTTTGCTGGCGGCACTCACACAAATCCCCTTCATGTTGAGTCGTACGTTTTATAGAAAACGTGTTCAGGTTTTCAAAAGTAACCTACAGTATAGTTGTATAACAAATCCGACTGAAATTTAATTCAAATATAACTGTAATTCATATGTTAAAATATACATAAAAGAATTATTTTAACTTTAAATCATGGTACAAGTATGATCTTCCTTCCGACTTTTCGCTTAAATGTGTGATTCAAATGAGATATGTTTGATGTGAAGTGATTTTGCCTGGTAGTACCTTTGATGTTGATCTTGTTCAGGGAGTATATGGGGTAACGTATGGATTTACCAAGATTTACATGGCAGGTTTCGTCGATGGAGCAAAACGAACCTTTCCGGAACACCAGGTCTTATTCTCCTTGTTCAGGAGAATTCCTGTTAATATTTTTGCACATTTTGTGTCCTTTTTATGCTTATTTATTCGTCATTTATTGGTCACAATTACTTTTTCTGTGTTTAATAAAATGAAAACATCTTCAAACATAAAAAAAGTATTGATCAGCTTCCTTTGATTCATTTAAACAGTGTTGAGGACATCCATGTGTACTGAAACCATCTGTTAACACGCCTTTATAATGGCATGTCCTTTTGTCCTCTAGCTTTTGGCTACTTTCAGATATAATTGTATCATTCAGCTTAAAATTATTGTTTGTTTACTTGGACTTTCTATGAGCGAGATGTTGAATTTTAAAACAATTTGGAAGATGACGTAATGTTTCGGTTCACTGATAATACGATTTGACGTTAACATTTGATCAATAGTATCAGACATTTGTTACTTCAAAATAATGATATTAACGGTGTATTTTAAGGTGTCGGGGTAGCTACCATGGTGATCATGACGTACTACAACACCTACTATATGCTAATTTTGGCCTGGGGTGGATACTACCTCGTCATGAGTATGCAGGCTGTACTACCTTGGACTCACTGCAACAACCAATGGAATACTGTGAGGTATGGTTCTATCTGGTTCATGTTCCAGAACATATAATGACGTACAAATAGAATGTCTAGATCAGCATGGAATGAAAAGGATCTGTAAAACGATGATTTGTCTACAAACCAACTAAATCAAAGCGAAAATGAAAATCGTTGCTTGACTATAAAACGCCAAGAATAAAAAAACAGAATCAGTATAACTGACGAATGATCCCCAAAAATGACTTTATTGGACACAAAATAAAAAAAGGCCAATGATTCTGTGATTAGGGGTTTTCAGGCACTGAATTTAGTTCAACGAATATCCTTTTAGTATGACCAAGGTATCCACCTAGTATAATTGAATGCAAAGTTATGCTAGGGACATAAAATTTTAACAAATGGTCCCTAAAGGACTTGGTAGGATAAGGCCACTGTTTGCCCAACCTCCGTCCGTGTACTCTTTGATATCTAAAAGCTTGTATATCACAAAATATCAAGTATCTGTGTAAATCACTTTTTGAAATACGATTGTTCAGAGTTTTTATACAACGACGTTCAGATTATATAATGTATATAATTACAAAGGGATGACGCCACGTTACGTAAAATTGGGATTACAGCTCAAATATTTGAACATCTCCATAAAATATTTTTCTTGGAAGTTTAATCTACTTAACAATTCATATACATGTACATTTTGGTATTAATTGGTTGAAACTACAATTAAACAGATTCAGCATTCAAAGGAAGTACAACGTATGAACCATATTTGGGTTAGATATTTAGATAATTTGGAGTTATCGCTATTTTAATCCTGTATGCTGGCGATTCATGCATTGTGTACGACAGTAAAAAAAGACATCTTATGATTGTAAAAGTCTATTTCACAATATGCTTAATGAACTCAAGGACACATTGGGGTAGACTGTTAACAATGTACGAATATTCAATTTGACATGTCATAAAATGAGTTACAACGATAACGATCTTGACATGCTTTGGTATACTGCCAACCGCGTGTCATTCCGTGCCTAGTAAGATATACTGGTTGGTTGCAATCACAGTTCAATCTGTCAATGGGAGAATGTGATGTTTAACAACGACAAGCACATCGACGTGGGAAAATGTTATGTTTAACACTGACACACACAGTGACATGTGTTTAACAAGCACACAGACACACACAGTCGACGTGGGAAAATGTTATGTTTAACACTGACACACACAGTGACATGGGAGAAAGAGATGTTTAACAACGACAAGCACATCGACGTGGGAAAATGTTATGTTTAACACTGACACACACAGTGACATGGGAGAAAGAGATGTTTAACAAAGGCACGCTCAGCGACATGGGAGAAAGAGATGTTTAACACAGACACACACAGTGACATGGGAGAAAGAGATGTTTAACACAGACACACACAGTGACATGGGAGAAAGAGATGTTTAACACAGACACGCACAGTGACATGGGAGAAAGAGATGTTTAACATAGGCACGCACAGTGACATGGGAAAAAGAGATGTTTAACACAGACACACACAGCACACAGACACACACAGTGACATGGAAAAGAGATGTTAACACAGGTTTAACACAGACACACACAGTGACATGGGAGAAAGGGATGTTTAACAAAGGCACGCTCAGCGACATGGGAGAAAGAGATGTTTAACACAGACACACACAGTGACATGGGAGAAAGAGATGTTTAACACAGACACACACAGTGACATGAGAGAAAGAGATGTTTAACACAGGCACGCACAGTGACATGGGAGAATGTAATGTTTAACAAAGGCACGCACAGTGACATTGGAGAATGTGATGTTTAACACCGACACACACAGTGACATGGAAGAAAGAGATGTTTGACAAAGGCACGCACAGTGACATTGGAGAAAGAGATGTTTAACACAGGCACACACAGCGACATGGGAGAAAGAGATGTTTAACACAGACACACACAGTGACATGGGAGAAAGGGATGTTTAACAAAGGCACGCACAGTGACATTGGAGAATGTGATGTTTAACACAGACACACACAGTGACATGGGAAAAAGAGATGTTTAACACAGACACACACAGCGACGTGGGAGAAAGAGATGTTTAACACAGACAATCACAGTGACATGGGAGAAAGAGATGTTTAACAAAGGCACGCACAGTGACATTGGAGAATGTGATGTTTAACAAAGGCACACACAGTGACATGGGAGAAAGAGATGTTTAACACAGACACACACAGTGACATGGAAGAAAGAGATGTTTAACACAGATACACACAGTGACGTGAGAGAAAAAGATGTTTAACAAAGGCACGCACAGTGACATGGGAGAAAGAGATGTTTAACAAAGGCACGCACAGTGACATGGGAGAATGTGATGTTTAACACAGACACGCACAGTGACAAGGGAGAAAGAGATGTTTAACACAGACACACACAGTGACATGGGAGAACGTGATGTTTAACAAAGGCACGCACAGCGACATTGGAGAATGTGATGTTTAACACAGACACACACAGCGACATGGGAGAAAGAGATGTTTAACAAAGGCACACACAGCGACAAGGGAGAATGTGAATGGGAGGGAGGGAGGGAGGGAGGGAGAGAGAGAGCGAGAGAGAGAGAGAGAGAGAGCCGTGCCAGGTTCAACGTTCAACGACAATAAACAGAGCGCTGTGCAAATCTCAACAAAGTAGGGTACATAACCAGTTTCTTTCCGTGTAATGGCAATAAGACAAACATAAAAGAAGTAGTGTTGAAGATTTTCTTTTCATGTTTCTCCGATTGTCGAACCGCATTTATATTCCATTGAGAGTATAAATTCATAGCACTAATCTTAAACGGTGGAAATGATAGCGATTGAAACACAGGACACATATCAATAGACGGTGCATAAAACCCAACCAGATATAAACTGAATTGAAACCATTATTTTTATTTTATTTGATCTTTGATATATTTTCGTTTACGATTGAATATGTTCAAGGTGGGGGACTTTAAGACGTTACCTTAACATTCGGTGTATACTTAACGTGCATATATGGTGTGCACAGATAAAGTACATACATGTGTGTGCCTTGTACTTGTATGTTTTCCCGGTAGTTTTTTATGCCCCACGAAGGGAGAGCATGTAGTCTCTGTTTTGTCCGTCCGTCCGTCTGTTCGATATAATTTTGTCTGCAGCAGAACACAAAAGTTACATGATATATCAACATAAACTGTCTAGGTATATAGACTTCAACAAGGAGAAACACAGTGCACCAGAAACATCGCCCTCTTTAGCATAATTTAGGAGTTATTTCCCTTTGTTATTTTTCAAAAATACTTCATTTTTTTTCTGGAATTTTACACTATATAAACTGTAAGAGTTATAAACATGAAACTTCATACGTGAATATATCTCAATAAGAAGGATTGCAGTGCAGAAGAATCATAACTCTCTTATTGCCCTTTAGTTTTCTCACTGAAACTTTGTCCCATTTCGGGGAGGGGGGAGGGGGGAGTGGTAGGGGTAGGGGGCATAACTCGTCTCTGACGGCCCTTGTATTACAGATATTAAACACCTTTGACCAGGAAATATAACACCATCATCATCGACTTCAAATGAAAAAGGTTTAAGTAAAAAGATCAGCAACACAAGAAAGTACTTACTATCACAGTGTTCTCGTCACGCTGACTGATATATGTATCTCTTGGTTTTGATCTCTGAAATTACCAAAACCCATCCACGGCCAATTTTGTTTCAATCACCAAGCCACAACCCCTTCCTCCACCCCGTTCCTCTGGCTACTATGATGTTGTTTGTTCAAAAACTTACACCATTTGCGTTGGTAAACGTCGAATGCTTGGTCAAGTCATGATCAATCTCATTCAAGTTCGTCCGTCAGTCTCCAAGATTCCTGTATGTGCTTTTGAAAACTAAATGATTTTTGTAACATGATATGATCTTAAAAAAGAGAAATCTGGAACTTTGTCGTTTTCTTAAATATCACATTTGAATTCATTTTATTGGATTACATGGAACTTGTGCGTATTTGTTCTAGACTCGTCTAACTGTTAGACAGCACATATAGGCCTACTGTACTGTATTACGTCACATCCGTTTGACAAGTCCTGATCAGTTTAAAAAACAACACGTGCTTATCGTGCAGTCTGTTTTTTTTTATTTTGGAGTAAGGTAGAGATTAGCCACTGTAAAAGGAAACAAGAGACCCAGGGGCCTTAACGGTCAATTGAGTCCCAATGCTTCTTGTAACATGTCATAGAAATTATTTTGTTAAAAAAATTATAATATAACTTTAACTGTATTGTGTATATAATGCAAATGTATAGTGTGTATACATTAACTGCTGTCCCATGCTTAGATTTCAAACCAAATTTATATTTAAAAAAATTTACTTTTTTAACTCAAGATTTGAATTTTCCTATATGAAAAATTCCATCCAGGAAGAGTAGAACACTTTTGAAATTTCATTCAATTTGACCTTTTTTTGGCCCCGACCAACAACCCCATGGGGTCAGCTGAGGTCAATATGTGCATCTCATCAAACTGTCATCTTAAACTAATAATTCTAATCGGGTTTAAACTAACTCCAACGTGAAACAAACAAACAATACTTAAAATTGTGATTTTCCTATATAAACTACAGCTTTGTAAACTGTACCCCTTCCCCAGGGGCAAAGGTGAAACCCTGGGGTAATGAAATTTACAATTTTGGTGAAGCATCTGAAGGCCTTGACGAGTACTTGGTTACACCATTTGATTTGAGTAGACGATATTTGAAGTTTCAGACAATTTAACTGTTTTTGGCCCCGTCATGTAATTTTCAATTTTGGGAAGCCATAAGGCATGGAAGGCTTTTGTAAAATTTATTGAAATCGGTTCAGGTGTGTTCCAGATGAAGCCGAAAATGTTAAAAGATTACGACGCACAACGCATGACGCCGGACAAAAAGTCAAAAAGTGATCGCAACAGGACACCCTGAGACTTTGCCTCAGGTGACCTCAAACCTCATTATG